TAAGATATATATATATATATATATATATATATATATATATATATTCCCGTTTTATGTATTGCAGCTATTACTACTTTCATGCCTTTTTTAAAAAAAAATCATTTTAAAAAAACCTAAAATAGAAATTTTTATTCCCTGTTCTTCAAAGGTAGTTGTAGATTGAAGGTATGAATTTTTTTTCCTTTTTTTAAAAAAACTTTAAAAAATTGATGTACATTTTAGTTGTTATTATAAAAAATCATTGTGTAAATAAAATAATTTTTATAGCCAATTATTTTGTAAAGTAAATTATTGTGTAAAAAAAATCATATACATGCGGATTTATGTGATTATTTGTAATAATTGTTTTTATGAAAACATTGTTTATGGCACAAATTAGAGCTCAAAACATAGTCTTTTACTGATGACATAAATTAGAGCTCAAAACATAATCTTTTACTGATGAATGAGAAGCAGAGAGTGTGACTAAGGACCAAGTAATCAACATTTTGAAATGTAAACTTACAGGAGCAAGCAATTGTACATACAGGATTAGTTCCCTAAACCTAGTCCTTCAGCTCTGCTTCTTGTTTCCCTAAAAAAATGAAAAACCCTCTTCCTTTTCTCTCTCTAAAAATAAGTTAGGCCCCTTCACAAACTCTTCACAAATTTAGGGCTTTCTCTCAAACAACATCCCAAATCAAAGAGAAAAACCCTCTTCAAACTATCCCAAATCAGTATCCTATTTTCCTTTTCTCTATCTAAAAATCAGTTAGGGTGTCTTCCATTAGGGTTTGTGAAGCTTCTTCCTTCTTCTCTCTATAAACTCTAATGGCTATGAGCCCAAAAATCAGTTACGACGTCTTCCATTAGGGTTAGTAAAGCTTCTTCCTTCTTCTCTCTATACACCCTAATAGTAAGGTTTGTGAAGCTTCTTAATTCTTATCTCTGTAAACCCTAATGGTAGGGTTTGTGAAGCTTCTTCTTTCTTCTCTCTATAAACCCTAATGGGAGCCCAATCGTATTTTCTTCTCTTCCTTCTTCTCTCTCTAAATCGTAAAACACAGAGATGTAAAACCCAATTTATACCATAGATATGGAGTGACCATAGCCACCATACTACAGTTAAATCATTGTAATGAGAAAAAAAAAAATCGTGTTTTTTTTACCTACTAAGTAGGTGTGATGTTTAACCATTTAATGAATAAATTTATATAAGTATATTTGTCACCATACCATGGTTAAATTATTTAATGAATATATTTATATAGTATATTTGTTTTTAGTATATAATAAATAGGTGTGATGTTTCTTAAAGTATTTAATGGGTAGATTTATATGGTACATTTTTTTGGGTATATACTAGTTAATTATATATTTAATATTGGATGATTGGATAAGAGTCACGAGGCATTTAAATTAATTGACTTAATTATATTAGTCTAATAAAGTTTTTATGGATGAATTAATTATTGATGGCGTTGACATAATTTTTATTTTTTAGAATTTCAAAATTTTTAATATTATAAACTTATCCAATTTTTTGAGCCTAATCCGATATATTAACGATATCTTTATATGAAGTATTTATTCTGATCCGTATTTTTTACCCGATTTTTCATCCGATTTTTTAAAAATAAAAATGATTTGTTTCCGATTTTATGGTGAGCCGATTTATTGATAGTCCCCGACTTGCTAACTATGCTCGAGACCGGGTAAGAATGGAACCCAACGGAGTTTTTTTTTTTTTTTCTTCTCTTGTGAGAGAGAAGGTATGAATTTGAAAAATAATAATTACGTTTTCCTACAACGTTTTGACTGAGATTTAGAGAGAGACCTCTTCTTTCCTCTTTCCCTTAGAGAAACCTAAATATGAAATGAATTATTTTGTATTTGTTGTTTCCTGAGAGCTCTTTTTTCCTCTTTTCCCTAGAGAAAGCTAAATATGAAAAGAACCCATCCACTATGGAAGGTTGTTCTTATGTTGGAAAAACCTCAAATTGATTATCTCGACCTCGAGATTCATAGACATAAAAAAGTGAGATTTCTAGTACTAGAAATAGTTCATTTTTTAACATAATATTTGGACCGTCCATTTTCAAGATTTTCAATTGTGTATAGATCTGCTTGATCATCACCATTTTTAAAATTTTAAATTTTATAATTAGAGGCAACAATAGATTTTCATATCATCATAACACTTTGCGGCACTGAAAATACATTTTTGACATAGTTTTGAGACACACCTTACATTTTATAAGGTGGACACCTTATACAAACCTCACCCATGAAAAGAATAATTATGTGCACTTGCCGTTTCGTGACTAAGATGGAAAACATTTCCATGGGATTATTATTATGTGTCTTCCACGTTGTCTTTGAGGGCGGCCCGCATGCCCATATGAGTGCTACACCATCGAACTTTGTTAGATGGTGGAGGTTGTAGGGCCACGGTGCAATCTACGTGGTCCAACTATGTTGGACATCATAGGTTTCATGGGCGCTTGAAACAATTTAACTTTTCTCTTTATTCTTTCACTTTTGGAAAATGTTTATATAGAGTCGCAACTCTAAACAATCAAATTAGAGCCCGCCTCAAAAATTTCATTAGACGAGGTTGTTTTGATGCTCAAATATCTTCAAATTGATCATCTCAAAGGGCACGATGGGTCATCCATTCCTCAGTTGTCATATACAAACAATGCCCCAGTTTAAGTGAATATATATTTAGTTTAGGAATAAGCTTAGGTAGTCAGGGCAATACAACATAACGTTTTGAGTTTCACTTTTATTATGGTTAGCAAATCCATTTCTCGTTGAATTGCCTATCAAAAAAAAAAAAAGGTTCCATGTTAGGTGATCAGTGGCGGGATGCGACAACATGATATCTTAAGTTTCATTCCTATCATGGATAGGGGACTCTATAAATCACTTGGATGGGGTGCAACAAGGAACACTTGGGCTTGGGAGCCCCCCATGGTAGCACCGTAGTGGTCATAATAATCTTGGGAAAAATAGAATGGACTCAATGCACTGTTCATAAAAAAAGAAGAAGAAATGGTTACTAGAAAGTCAAAATAGGAGCTGGCAACCCAAGCCACAGTAAAACTGCTTACTGGGAGTAGACTGTGTTTTCACTTTATCTTATGGACCACCTATTAAGCCATGTGAAAGTCACTAAAGATTAGACTTTAAGAGGCTTCACTATGTGAACATCAAGAAAAACTGCTTACTGGGAGTAGACTGTGTTTTCACTTTATCTTATGGACCACCTATTAAGCCATGTGAAAGTCACTAAAGATTAGACTTTAAGAGGCTCCACTATGTGAACATCAAGAAAGGTGCTGCCGTATAGGAGAGGGAGTTGGGGACATACAAAACCATCACATAGATAGCATATCCCTCTTACATCTCATCTACCTCCATTCATATCACAAGGAGGGAGGCACAACCATAGAATAATACATCATATTCATTTTCGGTAAGTGTTTACTTTCTATTCATTCCTCATGAGAAGTTCTTGCAACTGTGAAATTGAGCCCATGAGAGTAGGACTGCTTTTTCAAGCTCTACTGCTCTTTCTTCTTACCTTCATCAATTCTACATACTCAGATAATTTTGGCTTCAGTTACTCAGGCTTCCTTAGATCAAATTTGAGCTTGAATGGTGGTGCTGAGATAATACAGAGTGGAGCACTACAATTGACAAACAATTCTCTTCAAGTAATTGGTCATGCTTTCTATCCTCAACCTCTAAGGTTCAAGAACACCTCAGCAGGCAATGTTCCCTCTTTCTCCACTCATTTTGTGTTTGCCATCACTAGTCCAGTCTACCAACCTGCTTCAGGGCTCACTTTTGTGATTTCCCCTGCAACCCAGTTTCCAGAAGCCATGTATGCCCAGTATTTAGGTCTTTTCAATCGAACCAGCAATGGTGACCCTCAAAACCATGTCTTTGCAGTAGAATTTGACACAGTTCAAAATGTGGAGTTCGAAGACAAGAATGGCCAACATGTAGGTATTGATCTTAATAGCTTGACATCCAACGTGTCTGAGTTTTCAGCTTATTACACAGTAGAGGGTCATAGCACAATTAGACATGCTTTGAATCTCACAAGCGAAGAGCCGATTCAAGCATGGATAGACTATGATGGTGCAGAGAAGTTGCTCAATGTAACGTTATCTCCTTCTGGGACAGTGGGAAGGACTGGTCGACCTTTGATTTCGTTCAAGGTTGATCTTTCTGAAATCCTGCAAGAGTTTATGTATGTGGGTTTCTCTTCGAGTACGGGTAGTATTTGGTCCAGCTGCCATTACATTCTAGGTTGGAGTTTCAAAATGAATGATCGAGCTCAAGATTTAGATCTCTCTCTTCTTCCATCATATCCCAAGACTAGTAAATCATCAAGAAGGCTTTCCATGGGGTCTAAATTTGCCATATCCATGGCTGTTGTGATGTTTGTTGTGGCGACCATTTCTGTAACTATATACCTCATCCATAGAAGACGAAGAAATGAGGAAGTCATTGAAGATTGGGAATTAGAATATGGCCCTCACAGGTTCTCGTACAAGGAGCTCTCTATGGCGACCAAGGGGTTTGGGGATGGAGAGCTCATAGGCTCCGGAGGCTTTAGCAAAGTCTACAAAGGAGTGTTGCAAGCCTCTGGATTACAAGTTGCAGTGAAGAGACTCGCACATGAATCAGACCAAAGGTTGAGAGACTTTTTAACAGAGATCTCCAGCATAGGGAAGCTACGCCACAGGAATCTAGTGCAGCTCCATGGATGGTGCAAAAAATTGGGTGAGCTCCTCATAGTCTATGACTACATGCCACATGGAAGTCTAGACAAGCACCTATTTAATGAGAATGGCCTAATTTTGAGGTGGGAGCAGCGATACAACATCCTCAAGGGCGTCGCTTCCGTGTTACTATACCTTCATGAACAGTGGGATCAAGTAGTTATACATAGAGATGTGAAAGCTAGCAATATATTATTAGACACAGATATGAATGGGAGGCTAGGGGACTTTGGACTTGCTAAGCTATATGAGCATGGCGCAAATACACAAACAACTCGAGTGGTTGGGACATTAGGTTACATGGCACCAGAGCTAGCTCGCACCGGAAGAGCCACAACCGAGTCAGATGTCTTCTCATACGGTGCAGTTTTGTTAGAGGTGGCATGTGGTCGTAAGCCAATTGAGGCACAAGGCTCTCATCAAACATTTTTGCTTGTTGATTGGGTTTGGAAGTGCTTCAAGAAAGGAAGGATCTTAGATGTGTGTGATCCTAGGCTTGGTGGTTGCTATGTGGTAGAGGAGATGATAATGGTGCTAAAGTTGGGCTTGCTGTGCTCACATCCATTGCATAGTTACAGGCCAAGCATGAGACAAGTTTTCCAATATTTGGGTGGAGACACTCCCTTTCCAGACCCTTCTCCTAATGATATGGTGGTGAGCACCAAAGAAATCGATGATGACTATTTTTACTCACATGTTTTTTCACATGATGAGTTCTCCACCAGTTCATCTGCATGTACTGAAATTCCATTATCTGGAGGCCGTTGATCCTCGGACACCATTTGTTTTCTCTTCCTTTTCATTTAATTATATTTTTCCTTTTTCTAGTGTATAGTGAAAATATCAATGAATTTACAAGGTGGTTCATAGGAATAGATTGGCCTTTTGCTTGATTTTCATGGCACAAGGGCTGCACCACTAGCATTTATTCTTTGAATGATTTGGAACTCTCAGATAGTTGAGCTTGCTATTTAATCCTTGAAAGAAACAATGGTCAAATCTCAATTTGAGGTTTAATTCGTAGGATTAAGGAAAGCTAATGGTGATTGCAATCCTCCATACACTTAAAGTCACAGTCACAACTCACAAGCATAAAACGAAAAAATGATTAACTATATTTTGTGGATCTAATGCAATTGTAGTCTTCATGTAAATATAGACAGTGGCCTTAATTTATTCTAGTACATTTGGAGTCAGACGCTTCTCATGCCAAATTTCTTATTGCTACATACTTATATAGTCATTGGCAGTCATCTCCTATACGATATCCAATTTTCTAATTTCCTCAGTTAAATAGTACGAATTCCAAATCTTGTGGTGAGCCTACCAACAAACAATTTCAGTTCGAGCAATGATTTCATGCAACAGTTGTATCATAGCATGATGCAACCACATTCCTAGAAAACCATATTTGTAGTATTTGCATGACCCCAAAATTTTACACACACACTATTTTCATCTCAATAATCAATCTTAAAAAAAAAAAAAAAAAACTAAATTTGCACCATATATATGGTCAAAATGAATTCCCTCCAACAATGAATCTAGACCGTCCATTTAATAAATTTCAAGATCTAGGCTTTTGTGAATTCAAAATCATTTTTTTCTTTTTTAATATTATTAATCTATTGATAATAAAATTATCTAAAAAATTTGGAAAGGAAAAAGATCATTCTAAAGTCTAGATCTAAGCATCTCACGAAAATGGATGGCCTATATTAATTGGGCTAAAAAAATACTTTCTAGGTTGCATTTTCAATTTTTTTTTTTTTTGTGACTGGTCATTAGAATGAAAGGAGTGTATATTTTGAATTTGAATGAAACAAATGACCTTAACATAATTTTTGAAAGTTATATTATATTACCATACAACCGTTGCATGAAATCACTGCCTTTTAAGTTTGGAATAAACAGATAATAGACGAAATCATAAAACATTCATATTTCTGGTGGTCAATTTTGCCTTAACTATAGATCTTTAGGACTGGAATACCTTGCATCTATTCCAAATGACTTTTAAATAGGCGTATTTTCGTCATCCTTTATCGACAAAGATAGAGCCTAGGTTTCCCTGCTACCATGGATGTTAAAGTTTCCCTCCCCGGCCCCTCCTTTCCCCTTTTTTTTTTTGTTTTTTTTTTTTTTTTTTTGGGAACATTATCAAGGTTTTCATTGAGAAAATGAAATGAAGTACAAGGAATACCAAGAAGAGAAGTACAAAATACGAAAGAAAAATAAGAGGAAAACATGTAATCAGATGTAAAGCAAGAAAAGAAACAAAAAGTGAGAGATGAAATATCATCAAAGTTCAAAGCGAGTTTGACATATAGGGGTCTCTCACCATTCTGAACAACTTGTTCTTTGGCATTCCCCGTCACAATACATGGCATACCTCCAATAAGTCTTCTTCCATCCAATCTCTTGACATCCGAAGTGATGGAAAATATGCAAACATCCCCATTCGATTTTGTTGTGCACCAAGGCGTGATTGCACATACAACAGATGACATTCAACTTGCTCAGAGACAATTCGGGATTTTGGCCTACCAATCCTGCCCACATTTTAGCCATAAAACTGTCATTCAATTGAATGATTCTCATAAGTGTTTGAAAAATCAAACAAGAACGGTTAATCGGACATTAGGCTAGGAGTGGTTTGAACCGGAACCGGACTAATCGGAGCGGTTAACCGGACTAATCAGTCAAGTAGATTTTTTTTAAAGAAATAAATAAAAAACAACCAAAAAATAAAAAAATAAATAGAAAAACTTAGATTAAGTATATAAAGTGTATAATATCTTATTACATACATTTATCATACAAAAGAAAATTGAAACAATATTTTATAAATTAATATTTGAATACTATGGTCATGTACATAGTCACATAGATCTTTTTGTTTCCTAGATTAGGATATTCTTTGAAGAATATTTTTGTCATGAAACATCTTCTTCCAAGAATTAACACATTCATCCCAAACCTTAAATGAATCTTTTTAGTTTCTTTTGTAAAAAATATCGTTCACATTAGGAATGAAACACCAACTAATTAAGACGGAAACAGAAAGCACCTCTTCCATATAATTAAATAAAGCATAATTCATAAAATAATTTTCAATAAAGTTAAGACATACTTCACAAAAAGTACATCTCATGATATGCAACAAAACAAAAAATCAAGCACAACACACTGATATGTTCTATTGTTCTTATATGTATCTACCATATCCATATCAGTGTGTTGTGTGCATTGATTTTATGAAAAAATAAGAACAATAGAACAAACAATTTTATCAAAAAATAATTTATTAAGAAAAAGAGAAAAACACTTCCCATATTTATCATAAAACATAATTTTATTAAAAAAACCATAATTTTATCAAAAAATAATTTATTAAGAAAAATGGAAAAACACTTCCCATATGCATCATAAAACATAATTTTATTAAAAAACCATAATTTTATCAAGAAAATAATTTTGTTGAGCAAAATAGAAAAACACTTCCCATATCCATCAAAAAACATACTTTTTTTTATTAAAAAGATAATTTTATTGAGCAATATAGAAAAAAAACCTCCCATATTGATAAAAAAACTTAATTTTATTAAACAAAATGATTTTTAAGAAAAATCAATTTCTCAAACCCCCTAAAATCGAGTAACATTTCAAGAAAAAAACTATCCTCAATGTTCTAATAATCGAACAAATCAACACACATGCATTATAAAGGTTTCGATCGTGTTTCAAATGCACCAAATCTCATAAAATATTATTCGGTATTTTGGATTTGATTGATAAAAATGACTGACATTTCATATCTATGCAATTTTCATGACCTTGTGCCAAAAAATTCATATAAAAAAATTTACTCAATCATAAATAAACATACTAATTTTATTTGAGATATGAAGCCTCAATGATCGAAATTCACAACTCAATTTGATAAAAATGGCCAATAAATGGATAAAAAATCTGTGGTTTTGGATCAAATATAGGTTCTCTGAGCAGCAGTTTTTCAGGCAAAAATCAACCCTTGATCTTTGGTTTTCTAAACAAATTAAAACTTGAATCTAGTAAATACTTCGAATAGCAATCAAACCTCTCAAATTTCTTCATGAACCACTAGGAATTGAGGACATTATTGAACGAATGGCGGATATTTTTCAAAAACCTAAAAAATCTGCCATTTCAATCCAAGAAACTCTGTTTTTTTTTTTTTCAATGTTTAAATCCAAATTACTTGTTTTTATATTCATTATATAGTGATTTATAACATTTCGAAAACAAAAAAAAACAAAAAATGGCCGCAAAATGAATTTAAAAAGATGAAATTTGGATTAACAGTTTTCCTGCTACATATAATGGCCCCTATTTCAAAATAATGCCGTTATTTATAAATTGTTGTTATTTACTAAAAATGCGGTTATATCGACGAACCGGTTTGATTAGCTGAAAACTGGCTAGTTTGACATAAACGCGGCTGATTCGACCCCTAAACAGCCAATTTTGGGCGGGAAATTTTTTGAGGTTATCACCTAGGCTACTAGGCACACGAAACCAGCCCTAACCGGACTTAGAACCCTAGTGGTTCCGATCTAATCGGCCGGTTCTAGTTCTAACTGGCCAGTTTTTTTAACACTGCTTCCCATGCTTTGGAAGAGGCATGAATGTTGAGGACCCTTCAATCCTTTTAAGGGCGGTTTTCTTTTGTGACATTTGTGAGCATGTGAGGGTTGATTTCCCAGAATGAGGTACATGCAAGTTAGGCTTATTCCAAGCTTTGGCCTCTAGCCATGGCGCACATTGGATCAGGTGTTTGGCCACCAGCTTATGAACATTAGAGATAAGTCTGGGTAAGTCAAGTTCAGGAGGAGACCGAACCGCCGGCCTATGAACATAAGATGTGGGTCTAGGCAGGTTAGGCTCAAGAGGAGACCTGCCGCCAGCCTATGAATATAAGATGTAGGTCTAAGCATGTTACGCTTAAGAAGAGATCAGACCGCCGACCTATGACTATCAGATGTGGGTTCGGGTAGGTTAGGCTCAAGAGGAGACGTGACCGTTGGCCTATGAACATGATATACAGGTTCGGGCAGGTTAAGCTCAAGAGGAGACCAGGCTACCGGCCTGTGAATGTAAGATGTGGGTCCATGAAAGTTTGGCTCAAGAAGAGACCTGACCACCGGCCTACGAACATAAGAAGTGGGTTCATGCAGGTTAGGCTCAAGAGGAGATTTTACCGCTAGCCAATGAATGTGAGATATGGGTCTAAGCAGGTTAAGCTCAAGAAAAGACTTGACCGCTGCCCTTCGGATATGAGATATGGGTCCAGGCAGTTTAGGCTCTAGAGGAGACCTAGCTACTGGCATATGAACGTGAGATATGGGTCCAGGCTGGCTAGGCTCAAGGGGAGACCTAACTGCCGGCATTGAATATAAGATGTGGATCCATGCTGGTTAGGTTCAAGAAGAGATTTGACTGAGGGCCTATAAACATAATATGTGGGCAGGTTAGGCTCAAGAGGAGACCTCACTGTCGCCCTATGAATATAAGATGTGAGTCTAGGCTGGTTAGGCTCAAGAGGAGGCCTAATCATCAACCTATGAATCTAAAATGTGAGTACAAGCCGGTGAGGCTCAAGAGGAGATCTGATCACCAACCTATGAACATAATATGCAAGTCCACGCAGGTTAAGTTTAAGTTCAAAAGGAGACTTGACCACCGACCTATGAACAATTTTTTATTAACGTGGCATTTTAGTAGCCAAAGGCCATAACGTGAAATTGGTTGGACTTCCTCAGTGTTATCTCGAGTGACTAGTCCAACATTGGTCATCGTGCTTGAACCTTAGTATCATCGGTAATTAGGCCAAT